GAAAAACTTTCAGGAATTTTCTTGGAGATTATTTAGTTAGTTTTGGTGATTTTGGCTGTTTCTGTTGTTGTTTTCTAAGCTTGTTCTGACATAACTTTGAGATGGCTTTTGTTTTTTTTAATCAATTTAAATTTTTAGCCATGTTTTCTGTATTTTTATGGACTTACTGGAAAGCGACTTTGCCAAAATCTGAAATGTTCTATTGCGCTGATATTACTGTGGTAAAATTTTTGATACAGATCACTACTATTCTGACAAAACTTGAGAATTTATTCCGTAGCAAGACAAAATACATCAAATTATCCAAAAGAATCACACAAGTGTACAGCGTAAACACAAAGAGTCTACTTTTTGGCACTCCCTGGAGCCTTGGGCCTAAGAGTTCTATAAAACCCCCTCGGTGCGCTTGCTCCTCCACACCACCAGGGCAGTCATGAGCAAAGTGATCAGAACAGGGATGCCGATAAATGGGGTGAGGATACTGAGTGGTGGGTCTTGAAGGAGCCGCCCCGTCAAGGCACAGTTGTGAAAGTACGTCTTGTGAATGTGCACGAAGAAGCGGTCCACTATCTCATTGGGCCAGAAGCAGTCCGACAACAAGGCCACCTGGAAGGTGCAGTTAGTCACTTCCTCATATATCCTGCAGAGGGCGACATAGCGAATAACTCACAGACAGGACATACAATATGTTTACAAAAGGAAAAAAAGAAAAGAAAAGAAACAATGCTCCTTTAAAAATGTTACAGAAAATGTAAAATTATAAATATGAAAAACTTGTTTTACTAATGTTTTTGCTAGAGTTTCTCATGCATTCTTAGACAGGACTGGAGAGAAAAAATAAAGAATATTCCAATTTTATATTTCACAATATTAAACTTTAACCACTGATGTTGCTTCCTTTTAATTGTGTCAAACACATCAGTTTCTATTCCAGTGTTTATAACAAATAGTTTATTAAAACTACAGATTTATAGAGTAAATACACAAAGAGTACTCAGCTATAACGATGTCAATCCTACCTCCCACCTATTTTCTTTTGTTTTTAGAGAAAATGTATTTGTAGTCTTTTGGAAGTAATTTCGAAGTAGAACTGGTACATGGGACCTCAGTCTGCAGAGCAGAGGGGGGAAAGTCATAGGAACATCTAAAATTACCAGAGAGCTTAACACTGTTAAATATAACTGTGAGGTGGAAAGGGGCAGGAGAACTGGAGATGCATACCAGCACAGTAGTGCCCTGGCGAGGACTTTGCATCATGGGAGAAGAAGATTCTCCTCTTACATTTCAGAAGGTCAAAAGGGCCAAGTCTCTTAAGGAAAAAATCCACATAACCTTGACACCACTAATGAGCAGCATTTTGTAATGTGGGTATTTAAATGTTGCATTCCATTAGTACTTCCAGGAATAATTACCTTGAACTAAATTGCAACCTTACTGTGAGTAAGCCGAGAGGATAGCTAAATGTTAATCAGAAGGGAACTAAAAGCCAGCTCAGAAATGTTAAAACGATCAAAGAGCAGCATAAATTAGCCAGAACTGAAATGTTATCTAGAATAATTATGCTATGTTGCTGAAATCAAATGCTATGTGTTAGATAATAAATAGATAAAGGTCAGCAACAAATAATCAAAGAGCAGTCGAAAATAGCTTAACGGAAGAAAGTTATTTTTAAAAAAACAATAACAAAGAGTTCAAATCTTGGTAAAGAGAACTAAAATAACAAAAACGTATAATTAATTCCAAGTTTGATAAAGGCCAAATAGCTATGCTATGGTTTAAAGGTAGCAAGAACAGCAAAGAAGACAATTAAAAATGATTTCTTCATATTTCAGAAAAAAAAAGGTTGCAAAAGGGCAGAAACACAGAAATGAACTTAGTCAGACGAGGCATTAAAAAATACAGAACTTTAGCTTTAAAGTAGCTATAGGTTAGCCAAATTAGCCAACAATGTCAGGTGTAGCCCATTTTAGAGCACTTTGAGAATTAGAGTGTAGTGAAAATAGCAAAAAGTTAGACAAAACCACACAAATATAGACATAAATATAAATATATATGGATATAAAGAGATCAAAGCTAGCCCAGAAAAAGACCAAAGTCAGGTTAAAATGACTGAAACACAGCCAGTTTCATTTTAAATATGTTTTCTAAAGGTACATTATATAATAGCCATTCACCTTTTACATTTCACCTTAGCATGAAATGGCATGTTGACAAATTCTATGTCAACATGCTGTAAACATCACTGCTATCACTTTTTTTGTTTAAAATATCCCTGTTCTGTAGACTCAATGATATCAAACAACCAGTACCATTTCTCTCCATTTAGTACATAAACGTCCTAGTTAAATAAACCTTATGGGCTTCATTAAGGCTCTATTCTTGGGCTAACAGGATTGTGTTGCCCAAGTGCCATCTTTCCACTCCAAATGTGGTTCTGATAGGCTGTGGCTAAAACCTCAGGCCACTTCTGTTTTACTATTTTCACCATCATATATTTATGTTTGCAATTGGGAACAGACATTTAAATATCAACATTCAAAGCAAATGTGTGCCAAATTAACAAATGGGCCAAAACTTCTTTTGTTAATTGGGAAGTCTTAATGTATATAAAGTGGGCTGATTTTGTGTTTCACAGTTGGTTAGCAGCTCCACATATAGGCAGCTCCACTGGGCACACTGATGTTTGTCCACTTCCTTAACAATCTAGAAAAATCCATATCTTTGACTATATGTTGTCCTCAATCTGTGCTTTTTTCTGGTCTGATAATCTGAATTTACCCTATTGTGTCCAGCCAGCTGCACCACAGGCTTTGATCCAATCCATCCATATCCAATCTGAAGTTTTCCAGGCAGAAACCATTGATCACTTTCTCGTAGAAGCCTCTTTTGCAGGCAAACACCGAAGGCAGGACTTGAACTAAAGAACATCAAAGGGACAGAAAAAAAAAATGAAATGAAGAATTGTGTGCAGAGTTTTTATTCTAGATTTTTAAGGAAGACTGAGTTAACACACGAGGCTGAGTCATTACTATACGACCATTTTCTGTTCCTCTCACACTCTTACTTTCCTGTTGGAAAAGAGTTCAATTTGCAACCAGAGTCCAGATCCCATTTGTTTACTTCAGCCATGTGTGTAATCACTCTCTAGCCAGGGGGCAGAATGTAATACCACACGGTGGTACAGTAGAAGAGCGGAGCTTAAGCTGCTGGAAAAAAGTGGACCTGTGTGGAAAACAGGTTGTGGTTACGACTGAGAGAATGTAGCGTAGCCCAGGAGCTGCTGCCGCCTGATAAGAGCCAAAGGTTTGTGTTTGACGTGGGATTTAAAAAGAGACGGAAGAATGTAAGAAATGGCCGCGGCCCCACTGTTGGTGGTGTCACATGGTAGAAGGGATATAATGTCTCACCTGTCTCTGTGTTTGTTAGCAACAGCTGGTGGGAGAAACTGACATCCAAGTCACCCTCACCCCCCTTGGCTGCTAATCACAGATGCCTTTACATTCCTTTGTAGAGAATGCACGCCAACCGTGGCTCTTATAGCTGAGGTTATACAAACTGTCTGCCATTCATGGATGGAATAAACCATGATTGGTTTAAAAACAAAATAATCCATTTAACGAACTAGCCATTTCTGTCAGTCAGCCCACTGTTAATGACATTTTACTTAGTAACTGTTTGGTTGTAATTTTGTATTTGATGTGCCATCAGTGTGTCACTTCCTATTGTATTCTATATAAGGTGTTGTCTTGGTCAACAGGAGCTATGTTGTAAGTGAGAAATTGCATTTGGATTGATGTTAGGTAGAAGAGGACAGTGACAACATGTTGTTTTGTTAGCAACTAGCTGAAAATAAAGTGTGACATATTGGAACTTTGTTTTTCTGTAAAAACACGATGACAGAGACCCTGCAGGGTGCAATGCAGTCTGGCTGATTGGATGTGGTAACCATGAATGTTTGACAAGCAGAGTTTGTGTATTTGGGCCATCCTGTGGCGTACATGTAGGGACTGAGGAGCCATAGGTTGAAGACCTCTGTTTGAGCTCCTTGTTATGAAGTTTTTAGATATTATACAGGATAAAAATATTATCATTTTATACGTAAACATAATAAAATATACACAGCGTGTAGAGTTTGATTAATATATATTTTAAATGCATTTCAATTTTTAAGAATGTTTTTCTGAATGCTGTGTTATTTACAACACTTATGATTGATTACAGGAAGTAGAACACCAGCTAAAAACACCAAAATATTTCATTCTAAAAAAACAACTTAACAATCATGTCAAAAACTGTAATTCCACAGTGACTCACCTGCTATCAACACCACCAGCCCAGCTTTGAGAAGCAGAGACATACTGGACACCAACCACACCGCGTCCTGACAGGCTGTGTCTGCTTACTCCCTGGAAATCAGCTGCGCACACGCCATACTTTCGCTCAAGACAGAACTAAAGACACCAGGAAATATTTAGTCTTAAACACCACAACGGCGGGCTAATGGAGCACGAGAAGCCCCCCTGACCTGCTTTCTCAGTGGAAACCTGCGTCGTCCACTTGCTGACGGCCCTGTAATCACAGCAACTCTCAGTGTCATCTGATCCCCTTGTTTCACTGTTGCTCACAGGGGACAAAAACAAAGTCAGACACCAAAATAAGTTCAGCGAAATGGAACCTGGGGATCACTGCGAGGCTGTCGTGCTTCCCACATAGTAAAAACTGCCCTGGTCAAGTCATGGCCCAGTCAACTTCTTTCACTTGGCCCATATGCAGCAATACATTACAGACCCCTGTATAAAGAATGTGATTCACATCTCACTACTGCTGTTAGCATTCAGCTAAAACACATGACATTGTCTGCATCTGGTGTTGACATTGTGGGCCACATTCTTCTCAAAGGTTTTTCCTGGTCCAGGTTCTACATACCTGTTGCAGACCAGGTTCCAATGCAGAACTGACACCTACAATCTGGATACCTGGAGATGAGATACATTTATGTGATTCATCATGGAGTCAAAGGCTTATGGTCCAGAAAAAGTCTGGGACAACAATCATGTGTCCTAAATGTTTGCTTTCACATGTTGACCTAAGTCCCTTATTCATCCCACAACGGGGAAATTCACTGTGAGTCTTTGCAACCCACACAGACTCCTATAGGAGGCGCTATTAAGTATGTGGTTCCTCTGGGGCTGGAATCCAGGACTAATACCAAAAGGTTATATAATTTATTTATGTCTATACACAGTACAGTACATTTGTATATGACATTTGGATGATTCTGAACACTAATGTGTGGACAGACCCCACGTAGGTCATTAAATGTCAATAGTTGAATGTTATTTTTTAAACAGCTGTGGTGTTCATTTATATTCTCTATGTGGCCCCATCCCCACATGCTGCTGTCCTATGTGCTGATGTGAGGGAAAGGAACCATAAACAAAGTATGCATTTTTCATTTATACAGTAACAGACTGAAGGCCAGGAGACTTGATATCCCTGGGTTTAATAAAATACACTCATATGTAATGGGCAAACCCTCTAGGAGTAAATGTTTATTTCAAAGAAAGCAATATGGCACACAAATATGTGTGTGTGTGTTTCAGCGTGTGTGTAAAAGGCGCAGTATAATCAATTCACAGAACTTTGGGTTTTGTATAGGCCCAGTGCAAAATGAGACATTTAATTTAATGCTGTGAAGCAATGCAAAAATAAACTTTAAATTGTTGGTTTGATTTATTAGGATATTTTGGTCCAGGGACTAACTGTGCCCACGATGTGCTGCTTTATTTTCTATGCAGTACATGCCTAGAAATGTTCATTTTAGCTTTTTAATGTTATAATATATATATATGTATATATATATATATAAGAGCTGCTAATCTGCTAATTCATGAATCAGTTTATATAAAATATAATCTCATGACAGTAGAAATCACCTGCCGTGTCTATAGAGATCTGTGAAAATGCTGCGCGGCTCGTTTCAGTTTTTATTTCATTTTCAATAAGGCCTACCAACAGGTGCTCTGAGTTCCTCTAGAGGGTAGCAAAGGACGCTGAATAACCATCTTCTTGGCACCGTGCGTCCGCGCTCCTTGTTGTCAGGGACAGTCTGACGGTGGAGTGAAAGACCGTACAGAGTTATGGTTCACTTTTCACTTCCACGGTCACAAATCAACACAGCAGTCGTCCTTATGGCTCACACTGACCGACAGACGCAGACAGAGCAGAGACGGGTTTCAATGAGCGGCCGTGACCACGGGTTAGTACCAGACTGTGTTCATTAAAGACAGTTGGAGGGTGAAACCTAATAAATTAGACTCCTTTTTAAAGGGTTTTTTTTTTTACCTTTACCCATCCTCCACACACAATTATATTATGGTTCTTTTTTAACACCGATAATTAAGGTTTTCTTTAATCAAGCTGTGACTAAAGTGATGGAAGTAAATAATAATTAAAAGGGAACATGTAATAAGTTAAGGTTTAATATTAAGCCAATAAATCTTCACCACGTTAATAGGCACAACGACGCGTCAATCACACCGGAGAGGCGTGCCAGAGAACGCCCTCCTCTCCATCCTGACACACACACACACACACGCCGACACTCCAACTCCTCTCCTCCGACTCCACCTCCTCCCCCCAAGCCACCGGTGCTGTGGCAGCGCTGAGGAGTAAATGGCACTGAGTGTCCGCCGTGGAAACCGACCCTAAACGCTGCTCAAACGGGAGCCGATAAACAAACCGAGCCAACGACAACGGCGCGTAAAAGGCGCTGCGTAAAAGCTCTCCACTCTGTGTACGTGTGTATGCGTGTGTGTATGTGTGTGTGCCGGCTCCTGGTGCCAGAAGACACAGACAAAGACTCAAGTTGTCCACTTTATATTTCATGGTTTGGTTGTTGAGTGTCCACGCGTGTGAAGGATACCCTCCTTGGACATGTGAGTAACAGGAGTAAAGCAGAACACCAGCCTTTGTTTTTTCTGCAAAGATGAAGTTCCTCGCCTGCGTCCTCGCCACGCTGCTGTCGGTCGGATCGAGTGCGGCACAGTCAGGTGAGTTGAGTGAGTGAGTGCGTGCGTCTGGAAGTGACCCAGTCTGGTGGCAAGGCTTGATTTCACAGTAGATGGTTAGTCGGGATGACAACTAGTGGGCTGCATCACTGCTTCCAAACTTGACAGAACTTCACATCCAGGCACCGTGACGCTGCTGGGACTCAGTCACACCTGCAGCAGCAGCAGTAGCAGCAGCAGCAGCAGTATTGGTGGTACATTGTGACATTCGGCCGCCTGTTGAAGCCTGTCGGGCGCTGCGTAAAGTAGACCTCTCCAAACTGCCCCTCATCACTGCCTCTCTGCCCCTGCTTCAGATCAGAGACGGATCAGAGTCTTCAGTCCGTACCTGTCCAGGCTAATCTTTAACAAGTCATAATTAATAACTAATTCATTGGATTTCTCTCTACTTGTGCGACTCCCTTAAGTTGACACTGATCGACCGACTGCGGCTATTTGCGCTAATTTATGTGAATGAATCTCAACAGCACCAGTGGCACCGTTTCTTTCTGATGCTGCCCGTGAATAATTTAGACGCAGCAGCTACTGAGGGTTATTCAGACTGTGAGAAAACATCCCGCTTTCATCACCAGGACCCCCGTGGTTCCGAACCCTGGACTGGAATTCACTTTAATGCTCTCCCAATATTTCCTACAACTGCTTCTAATTCACGTTTTCCCCTTTACGCTGGAGTTAATGATACATTTTTATTCATGTGTGCCTTTTACACTTCTTCCCCGTAGGATATTTGTTGATATCCCGTGCTACTCGTATCTCTTGATGTCTGTGCGAGTTTTTCTTTTCTTTTTGCCTCCTCTTAGTGAAGCAAAACACTCTCATTGGCTGTTTGTTCAAGCAAGTACTTTTTCTTAACGCTCCAGGGTTGAGGGATTTTGCAGTCTATCCAGCTTTTTATTTACAGATTAACTCAGCACTGTTTGCTCTTTTGAATCTTAGTCTGATGTAATGAGATCCAAAAATAAGTCATTGTTGATGCCAGAAACTTCTTAAATGGTGTCATTAAGAATTGGCAGAGTTGGTTGGCCTGTAATGGTAAACAAATTACAAAGTGGGAGCTCACAGTTTCTCAAGGACAGGTCACGCTCCAGCTACTCATTTTATTGTCTTTTATGGAGAGGTGCATGGATGGACAGGTGACAGAAGGATGAATGGGAGAAAAAAAAAAAACCCCAAAAAAAACAAACAGCTAAAGTATTCTCTACGCACACCCTCACATCCAGGGGGATTAGCGATGCAAATTCTGTCCAAGAATCCCAGCAATGCCTCTTGGGAAGTTTGTCAGCCGTGCCTGTGGGTGTACACAGAGGTGACATTTACGCGACCCCTCTCTTTTGTCTCTCCATAACTCACAATCTCTGCATTGTGGCATTAGAAATGCATACCCCGACACAAGACGCTATCAGTCATGTTGGTAAAGTGAATGAATGTCAGGCTAAAGTGAGACAATGTAGGAGATGTTCACTGTCTGTCAGCTCCCGCTGAGAGACTAATGTCTGCAGCTCTCCTGCCAGCAAGCTGAGAACATTAGGTTTGATTTTTGTGCTACAGAAGAGTGCGAGCACATTTTGCCAAGCACAGAAATGTTCACACAGCCAGTTCCTTGATTGATGTTATCCTCACATCCTGGCTGACTGTTAGCACCGTGTGAGGATCTTAATGTGTTTGTGTAAACAGTGGGGTCCAGTTTTTTTTGTTTTTTTTTTCTAAATTCACTTAGTGCCTAACCTTTGTCTTGTTTATTTGATAATGTCGTTAAATCAAATCCACTGGCCAACGTGCGAGACGCTTCAGGAACAGAAAGATGAAAAACATTCCTGTAGGTGGCTGAAAGGACGTTTAATTCACAATTCAAAGCACTGACGCACAACACGGAACACAATGGAATGGATGCTAACACAGGGATGCTGGAATATTAGGGAAAATAATGAGGAATGTCTTCTGATTGGGGAAACTGAAACGGATTTTAAAATTGACAAAAAATATAGTCTTACATTGATAAATCTTTAATGAATATTGATTAGCTAAAGCAGTGATCATTTTTGCACAATTGCAGAGGAAAACGCCAACAGTTACTGTATCTGAACACACCTGAAATGTAACTAAATGTCATTTAGTTACATAGTTACATAGGAGATTAAAGGTAAAGTGACTTAAAATGTTGACCTTTAAGATGAAGAACATCCAATTCAACTTGTATTAAAATAAACTAAAACCTAGCCAAACGTTGACCTTCAAAAACTGAAATAAAGCGCTAAACAATACACAAGAGGAGAAACAAATGAAGCAATAAATTAAAAAGAAAGTAACAGTAATTGATTTGGGGTAAATTCGTAGCCCTTTTTAAACTGTGTAAACAAGGGTCAAGGCAGTTTATCTGACAAAATCAGGTAAATTACTACAAAAGACGTGGCTCAGTGTTAGCGGCTAATGTGGCCCAGATGGATGTAGCAGGTTTAGCTCCGACCACTCTCACTAAGATCTGACACACGACCTCTGGATCTACAGCAGGCCGCTGACAGTGGTGACTCCAGGCTGGGTGCTGCAGTATGTGGCTGTCGCACCACCGTCCCTGTGTCACATCCATAATTTGTAAAGTTACTGTTGCAGTTTCACAAACTGAGTCTCTGCTGTGTGGGGGACAAAAGCTACTCACTAACCAGGAGTCTCACAGTCAAAGCTGTGGGGCAACTGCTGCCACATTAGAGGGCCACAGTGGATGGTGGCCGCCC